ATTATTTAAAAAGTACTTACTCTAGCTGTTATTTCCCACAGCAATGATAACATAACCTTCTTTTCACCTACCTCATCTTGGATGAATTTCATTCTAGCCATCGAGGGACACATATATGGATACTTATACTTGAAGACTTTTTTTAGTTGAAGTATTTTGGCAATATCTCTTTCTGCCATTGTCACTGCCCATATGTAGTATATGGCAGGCCAGCTATCTCTCTCTGCCACCTCCAAAAAACTCTTGGGATATTTCTTGTTCTACTTTTTTTACTAAATTTGAGAGCTCATTTCTCACCATTGTGGTATAATGCCACCATAAAATGATGTCTAGCAAAACCTGTCAAATAAAAATGGCTGATAGTGTATTTATTGAAATATGGTTTTGATCAAGTAGGTTTTGCTACTGAATCAGAGAACGATCTACCAATAACTGTGTATAGAAGCTATTTTTCTAATAGCAAATTATTAGTATTAATAATATAAATTTTAGAAACAGGGGTTTTTGCTCAAGATTTTATCACAGTAAAATTTTGCACCAGTTTGAGAGTGAGACAGCCAAAAAAATCTTTTTATATTCAGTTGCCCATTTGTCATGGCATGGCAAGACCAACAATAATAAAAAGTCACTCTCCATTTCACTGTACTTTCTTCTGATTCTCTTCCCACACCACTGCCTCGGAATGCAGTTGAAAAAAAAGGGATTCCATCAATTGCTCTCCAGACAGAAGGAGATTTTTTAAAGGGCTCAGTACTTCTTCACGTGAAGTACCATCAAGTGAGGCTAAATAACTTCTTGTATGATAATACTTGAGTGTATTTTAAGGTGGAAGAGATCAGAACCTGGAGATATCCTACTCATTAAATTATTCTCCAGTGGTTTTGCACGCTCATATTGACAAGGCACTGAAATTATAGCCTCTAATCCCCAAGAACGTCTTTCTGCAGTTTAGTCTTAATTTACAGGCAAAAATAGAGGCAGCTACACAATTCCTTGCCTTCTCTGCTCTGTACCATTTCTCCTTTGTTCCTTTAATTTCATTTTTTTATTATTGTGTACTGCTTCCTTTGTTTAAGGCTTCTGTCACACACTTCCCCACAGGTTTTACTCCACTTTTTATTATACTCTTGATTACATCTGCTTGTGGCTTCATGAGCTGATTGAGTGATTTTAGGGGAGACTGGAATGATTTCAGATTAGACAAGAAAAGAGAAATATGGGGTAACAACATGAGTAGAGCAAGCTGCAATAAAAGGAACTGAAAGTACATTTCTCTGAGGACTTAGTTCACATCTGTTTAAAGGAACACTTTTTAAAATGGGCAGTTCATATTAATTTTTCTTTCTTTTAACGTACAATTCCTTCAAGTAATTTGGTTATGATAGATACACTGTCGACCAACTTAATAATCTTAACAGAGATTAATTAGAATAAGATAAAAATTTACAATAATATTTTTAAAGAAAAGATGAAGTTATTTTCCTTGAAAAAACATAGTCACTTTTTGAGGGGGGGAGGGGTGAGAGTATACATATATATATTTTAGCAAATCAGATAAGAATTTATTTTTCACAGCAAAAGAAAAAAACCCAACACAAACCAAAACAAAAATATCTCTGCTTAAATTTTTGCTTCAACTGCCTAAAAAATAAAATCCTATGAAACAATAATATGCCTCTTGTGACCTACTGCTGAGATGATAATGGTATTTGAAACACTGGTTTTGTGAACAGAGGTCTCCAAGACAATGTGGCATTGGTTCATTGTAATTTTATCTTGTGTTAAAAACTTAACTCTTGGGGGAGCCTCAGGCATATCATGGTCACATAACACAAGTAAATTTTTGGTATGCAGTTATGCTACGCAAAGGTACAGAACAAACCACACATAAATCTGCCTCATTATAGCTATTTACTATCTTTATAGTAATTTTAAGATGCCATCTCAAACTCTTACTCTATGTACCTATGCTTTAATATTGCTTTGAAGTGTCATTTAACATTGCTGAAAAGACAGCAGTATAAAGCAAAAATATTAGAAAAAGCAAAAGTCTCCTGCAGTTTTTCCTTGTCCCTAGACACAATCATGAGTCCTGTAAGATCAGGGCTCTGTGCCTCTGGGGAAAACAATTGTGGATAAAGTGAGAAATAGTGCATTTACTCCTTCTTGTGACATTCTTTATGTGGCTTTTAATACAAACCACACCATTTAGGAGTAACAAAAGCACAGAGACCTGCGCAATGACTGTTGTCTCTGCTATGTGTTTTTCCACATATGCAGTGAACTTAAAAATCTCAGTCCCTCACCAACACTTTAAAATGTTAAAGCAGCTGTCTTTCTAAGGAATAGGCACATGCCTTTGCTTCCTGTGTGAAGGAAGATAGTCTTCAGGGGGAATTCACGGAGATATTTAGTTCCTGTGCAGAGAATATCTGCTTAAATGTAATGCAATAAAAAGTATGTTAGCTTTGGAAGAGCAAATGTTCTGTTTGTGATATGCCTTAAAACAAGTGTGTCTCAGCAATCTAACAGGTACTTCTGGGTATGGACAAGCCAGATACAAAAATTTTTCTACATCTGATTGAGATAGAATCAATAAAGATAGATATTTACAACTTCTGCAGCTGAATTCAAGGTGCTATGAGTCCACTAGACAAAGGGTATTTTGGACAGGAACAGCAAATATGTTAAGAAGGCACCTGGACAATTTGAAGTCCGGGCTTTGCTTACAGATGACTCCTTCTGGAAAAGGTGACAGCACGCGGCCCATGGTGGGTTACATTACTGAGTATCTGCAAATACAGAGATATCTCCAAGAAAACCTACCATCTGTATTGTCTAGGGAAGAGTATTCTATGGATTAAAAAACAAACAAACAAGTAAAACAAGAACAGGTGCTCTGTTACTGCATTTATCTTCCTTCTCTTCTCAGCCACAAGAAACTGTATTTTTTTTCTAAATGATTGTAGAACTTTCAACCTTCAACTATTTCTTTCCTAAACAGGTATTTACAGACTCTAAGCTACCCTTATCTTTCTGTTTGTTAAACTAGCACATTTAACTGAAGATTATGTACAAAATCACAATACAAGCTGTGTTTTTGAACAGACCTGCTACTAAAAATATATATATGAAATACACAGGGAAACTTGTCCCAACTTCATCTAATCTGGTACCTTCCTTACTACCCTGTACTATATACTAAGGTGTCTAACAATAACACCTACTCTGAGATCATTCATATGCTTAAAAGACCTGCAGATTATATGAGCTCACTATTTCTGGACAGGTTTGGGTATCATATACACATGTGAAAACCCTATAATTACACTGAGCTCCCCAATGCTTCTATCATTTGCAGGTTTTTTACTGAACAAGTAACATTTTTAGGATATACATTAAAAAATGTCTCATATTACCTATATTACACATTTGTTGTTTAGTTTAGTTCTTATTACAACTACTTTAACGTCCTGTCAAAAGAATTATATTTTTTACACAGTTCAACATTATTTTCTCCTGTTAAAGACTCAAGTTGAAATATGTATCAAACCATTGTCAAACAGACATTTACTACAGTCTTTTTATGTTCCTGTTCTTTCTCGTAGTTGTTCTGTCTTGTGAAAACAATACTTTTAAAAGGCAAATGTGCACTGGTGTGCGAGCAAGTTCATGTGAAGAAGAAATATGCATACTTTCTCTCTCTCTCTCTCTAGATATAATATATAAGCAAGTCATGATCATTCAAACTTAATAACTTTTCAGTTCTTTGATCCCTTTCAGGACCTCCTGGGTTTTTTTATCAAAGAAAGTGTGTTTAGCAATGTTTAGGAGTTGTACTATCAGTACACCCTCTTCAGTGGATATAAAGGTGTCAGATAAAATGAAAGAAAATATCTTCAGTTCAGCTATTAACTGTTCTCTGTATTTCATCTTATACAAGCAATATTGTAATCAGACATATAATACTTGCCAATTAGTGGCCAAGATAATCACAGAACGGGACAAAAAGATCAAAAAGGAGGACAGTGAGAACTACTGACCAGCCAGCCTTCCATGCCCAGTAGGAACACGGAGCAGATCCTGCTTGAAGACATGCCTAAACATATGAAAGACAGAGAGGTGAAGAGGTGATTAGAGACAGCCAACGTGGCTTCACCAGTGGAAAATCATGCCTGAATAATCTAGTGGCCCTCTACAATGGATTGACTGCATCTGTAGACAAGGAAAGAACTACAAATGTCATCTACCTAGACTTCTGCTACAGTTTCCCTGAGCACTCTGGCTACTAAATTGGAGACAGATGTGTTTGAGAGATGTACTGTTAGGTGAATAAGGAACTGGCTGGTGGGATGCATACAAAGAGTTATAGTCAATGGCTCAATGTCCAAGTGAAAATGGATAACCAGTAGTGTTTCTCAAGGTCTGTGCTGGGACCAATACTAATATCTTCATCAACGACATAAATAGTGGGATTGAGAGCACCCTCAGCAAGTTTGCAGGCAACATCAAGCCTAATGGTGAAGTTGATTTCCTAGAGGAAAAGAATGTCATCCAAGAGGATCTTGACAGGCTTGAAGAGTGATCCCATGTGAATCTCATGAGATGAGGCCTTCAACAAGGCCAAGTGTAAGGTTCTGCACATAGGTCAGGGCAATCTCCGGTATCAATACAGGTTAAGGGGTGAATGAATTGAGAGCAGGCCTACAGAGAAGGACTTGAGGGCTTTGGTTGATAAAAGAGTAGGCATGACCTGGCAATGTGCACTTGCAGCTCAGAAAGCCAGTTGTACCCTGGGCTGCATCAAAAGCACCATGGCTTGCAGGTCAGTGGAGTTGATTTTTCTCTCTTCTTGTTAAACCCCACTTGGAGTACTGCATGTATGTTTGGGGCCCACAGGAAAGACATGGATCTTTTAGAGTGGGTCCAGAGGAGAGCCATAAAAATGGTCAGAAGCCTGGAACACTTCTTCTATGAGGAAAGGCTGAGAGAGGTGAGGTTTTCCAGTTTGGAGAAGACAAGGCTCTGGGATACTCTATTGCATCCTTTAAATGTATACAAGGGGCTTAAAGAAAGACAGAGAAAGATTTTTTACCAAGGCCTGTAGTGACAGGATAAGGGAAATGGGTTTAAATTGAGAAATGGTAACTTTAGATTGAACATAAGAATACATTTTTCTATGATGAGGGTGATGAGGCACTAGAACAGGTTGCCCAGAGAAGGTATTGATGTCCTGTCGTTAAAAATATTCAATGCCAAACTGGATGGTGCTTTGAACAATCTGGTCTGCTGAAAGATGTCCCTGTTGATTGGAGTGCAGGTTGGACTAGATGACCTGGAAAGGCCTCTTCCAACCCAAACCATTCTATGATTTTGTGAAGATACCTTCACAGCTTTAAATATCTATCTATTTTTTCTGTTATCTATTGGTGTATCAGCCTTTGCCAGTTGCTCTCTATCTATGACAAAAAGTTCATTTCTCTTAGATAAATACTCATGCAAGTCATACAAACTACCTTTTCAACTTCATTCGGAACAAATCTATTCTTCAAATACATACGTTTTCATGTGTTAAAACAGTGGTGTAGAACAAATCAAATATTCTATTTCTTCAGGCAGTGAAATATCATATTTTTCCTTTAGCCATATCTCATAGCTTTTGCAACAGAAGTGTTTTATAGAAACGTGGTTCATTGCTACTGTAAAAATTGAGTCAGTTTAAATACAAAACAACAAAACGTTAGCAAGCAACAAAAGTAATCACTACCATATTGTGAAAGTATTCCTAGCTTCAAGCAAATTCCTAATACCCAGTGATTCTGATCATTAGCAAGCTGCTGTATGTATTTTCATTGAAGTTTCTCTCCACTTCAGAACTAATAAACTACACCAATTCTATTTTTCAATTTATTTCAGGACATGCTGCATTGTCAGATTTATCAGGGCAGGATCATCCTCTCATTGGACACACTGCTTGAACAACCAGGGCAAGCCTGTGGTGGTATAAAGTAATTTCCACAGAACTGTATCAACTCACACCAGCTGAGGTTTGGTCCTTGTAGACTGTTATCAGCAGGTAGGTCCCAACACTCCAACAGCTCTTTTGAAAATCTAAAAAGTTAAAGATTCCTCCTGATATAGAATTGACACTTAGATACACTTAGATCTTTCATGAAGCTAGTTTTGATCCATCTAGAAAGGAGTGGGGTTTATTGCTTATATATGGGTGAGATTATATAGTCTAACTCATATTTTATTGACTTCTTTGGATTCATAATTTGTCAAAGTAAAAGCAAGGAGGGTGGTGGTTACCTCCTCATATTCCAAAATTTCAAGGAAAGTGCTAGGACAGATAGTTATAGGTGTACCATTCACAGAATGGATAACTCTGAAAAGATTGTCTAGCTCTGAATTTCTTTTCCCATGTCATCTCCAGAGAAAAAGAAAATGAAAATGAAAGTGAAATTGAAAACTAAAATGAAAATGAAGACACACATACACCTCCGAACATGAGAGTCATGAACTTCAGTTATGGTTTCTTTTGTTTTGTTTGGTTTTGGTTGTGTTTCTTTAAGATTGTGTTATTTCTAAAAGTGACACAATTAAACATCCTTCTATAACTCTCAAGAAAATAAATTTAAAAAAAAATGTCTTGCAAGGCTTTCTTCTTGACTTTTACATAGAAATTTCAGATAAGTGCAAAGCAGTTTAGATGATTAGTCAAATAGAACTAAATTTTAGATAATATAAGGGTTGACAGCATTTTCTTTTAAAAGACTTAAAGAAAAATTTTAACATAAGGTAGATTACTCTAGAGAAATCAGTCCTGAACTTTTTTCCTGTTTCAACATCAGTATTGGCTAACAATAAATTTTCAATACATGAATTAATCACAGAATCATAGAAAGTCTTGTGTTGGAAGGGACCTTAAAGTTCATCCAATTCCAACCCCCAAACATAACATTCCAAACATAACATTTACACATGCATATCTATATTTGCAATACATATGTGTCCTGATACTTCTTTTTTCTTAAAAACTCCAATGAATATTTTACTGGGAAGTAAGAACACATTTTCAAATGAAAGGTAACCAAAAAACTTAATTTTAAAAGTAGAACCCTTTTTATATTTTTCTTTTGGAAATATCTGAAAAAAATCAACATCAAGGAATAAAAAAAAAAAAAAAAAAAGAAAAAGAAAAAGAGAATCCTTACTGCCTCTCGTTTTTATTCCAAATAATGATGGAAAACATGAAAGTTTCCCAAAATTGTTCTCTGACACATCTCATTTGATTGCTTACTATAAAGGCTGAGTCAGCTGTTTAGAAACTGAAATGATAACTTTGGCTGTTCAATTGTCTACTTAAGCTTAAGAAAAAAAATCATTGAACTTCACCTGTCATTAAACTCTTTTCCAATAAATTGTTGTCTCCTCAACTTTTGTTCTCCTATGAAGTCTATAGCACATAGTTCTGCCCCTGTGCCAGGTTTGTCAGCCAAACTCATGACCTGTGACACATGACATCAGTTGAGCACAAGGAAAGAGGAAGGCACCTGGCAAAGGATGTGACCAGACCCTGCAGCGAAGAGACAATGCACCCAAACCACAAATGAACAGCAGTTCAGTCAAGAAGAAATTCTATGTGAACTCAGGCGGAATGTTGCAATTTGGTTTAAGAAAATGAAAGGGTTTTTGAGTCTAAACATCCTCCAATGTAGTATTTTATTTTTTTCCACAGAAAATAATTTGGACAAAATCATGAATTGCCTGAGGTAGTTCTGAACTCTGTGCAAAATGTACAATCTCTGTAGGCAATATTGGATAAAAAATTACCGTATCAGTTTGAACTAATATAAAATGAATTAAAAAAGTGTTTTCTTTTGACATTTGATATTTTTCAGTTGGCCCACAGAGTACTCTCAACATCTTCATTTACCTATTCACGAGCATACGTTAGAGGAACTACACTTTAGATTTTTGTGGATACATTTCCAAAGTTGGTATTTTAGTCTCCTTTACTTTCATACCAAAAGGAGTAGTGTCTAAAAGAAACTTATTCTAAGAGGCAAGTGCTATATAAGAATTTTGATCAAGAAACCCAATGGTTTTATAGCTGTAAGGAAGACAGCAATCACAGGGTGTTATAGGAAAGGCATCTGTCATATAATGTTGAAATGCTGAAACAAGATGTTTTAAGAAGTTTAGCATGTGTGTCTGTGTACATGTGGGAGGGAGAGGACACTATGTGTAACAGCAAGTGTGTAGATAATTAATAGATGATGATAATACAAGAGGAAAGAAAACCACAAAATGTTACTTAATACCCTCAGGCTTACATAAAAACCCAATAGATGCAAACTGCATGGGGTAAACAAAAGAAAAATTATTGTGTATGAAGGAATAATTGAAAGCTGCATTCATGCAAGCATAATGTTTTTCATTATTCATTGAAAGAAAACCTGTAGATAAAACCCCTACTAATCTTTAATGTCACAAACCCTGAGGCCCATAAAACCTGGATGTAAAGAGATTAATAAAGCGGTAGACAGAATCAAGGAGGATGTATAAATTGTCCCCAGTGTTCATTAGAAGTATAAATTTTGTAGAGATTTCATAAATTATGCTAAATAATTCAGTTTTATTTAGCTGGTACTGCTGCATATTTTAAAGTGATACAGAATAGTAATAACAGACATTCCAGATTATAAAAAGGGTTCAATAATAATTGCTCTACCCTTGTTATCATCAGCAGTTATCATTCTGTGAAAGAAATGGGACAGATACTTAGTCTAAAATAATTCTTAAGAGACATCCTACATCACAAATCTTCTAGTTTTTAATAAAAGTTACAATGTTAGTGATTACCATCATGACAAAACTGATCTTGTCAAGTCAACATCAAAATCTCATAAAGAATAATAAGAAAGAAATTAACTAGAAAATATGGAAGAAAAAAAGGAAAGAAAAAATAAATCTGAAGTTTTTGAAGAGTTTCTTATGTTTGGTTAAAAAGTATTGTCTTTTGTTTTGCTCCTAATTCAGATATTTTTCACGGGTAACATGATAAAGGAGATCTCAGTTATCTGAACTTTAATTCAATATTTTATTCAATTTCATTCAATTTGAAGCTGAAACATGGTTGTATCTATAGCTTTGAATATTACAAATAGGATAGTTACTAGGCGTGAAACAAATCCACTGAGAAAATAGAAATGTTGCTTGTTTCAATCAAACAGTGGATAAGGCCCATCCTGATCTGAATTGCCTGTTGCTACATGATTCCAGCAGATATTTCTATGCTAGTCTGATCAGTATCAAAATTTAAACAAAGTCCCGTGGTTTTGCAAAGTGTTGCAGAGAAACTTTAGCTCCAAGGGCCAATACATCTCCCACCAAATCGTGACCAGTCCAACTTAACAGACTTTCTGGCTGTCAGTGCTTCCAGAGGAGCACAAAACAATAGGAACGAGGATCTGGCTGTGTGTCTAACCCTGTGGGGACCTGAATAAATCTCTTCAACTCCTTTCAAGTCTTCAGAGGCTGGTAATCATTAGCATATAAATAATTATAGAACGAATACACCACCTTAGGCTTTAAAAACTCCTTTGACTTTTGTCTGTCATGCAGCACTTCAGGTGTTTCACATATATCCACTGGAGTCAGCAAAATTTATGATTTACGTGGTTTGTATTTGTCACTATGCAGAGTATAGACTATCAAAACAGATGTGCAAAGCCTGGGACAAATCTGACTGTGCTGAATTTTACCACTAGCAGAAAGAAATCTGCATCTTGCTATGATTAAACTCAGCAGGAAGAGTCACAATAAATTGTGTTAAATCAAGCGTGACCTTACAAAGTCTTAATACAGATCAAACAAATTTAGAAATGATTTTTCATGGTTAGGCATACAAAATACCAAACAGACAGAAATGCAGGAAGAAAGAAAAAAAGTCTATTACAATACTGTGTCAGCATTTGAATTACTCAAATTTGTATTAACAGAGAAGTATATCAATGTTTGTTTATATAGACAATTCTAGGGACCTTCCCCTGCTGAGTCAATGCCACTGGAAATGTTTAAATCTGGAATTTTTTACAGCTTGGACACATACCTATCTTCTCAGTTAAGTGATAAAGCTAGAAAGGAAAAGGTAGAGAAGGTGTGAAAGGGTACAAATACTGCATTTTTCTCTAACACTGCTTGTTAGCATTGCAATATTCCTGTTGTCTCCTGTGTGTGCATGACAGACTGCTGCTCTAGGTGTGGAAAATAAAGAATGTGCATCCTGGCACATTTTACCTGTGATGTAGATACCCAGGTATGCAGTACAGGAAAGGAAGAAAATAGCTGGACAAGCCCAGAAGTAATTTTTCAAAACCCCAAAGTTTTACTGGAATAAAAAATGTTAGTTACTGAATCTAGATTGGTACCAAAGTCAGTGAAAGGCAAGAAGAGAAATTTAAAGTTTGTCTCTTAAAATTTATTGGAGTAGTAAAGATTTTGTATGTCTGGGGCAGGTATAACACTTAATGTCTGTCTACTTAGTGACAGAATTTTACTTGATATGTAGCAGAACAGAAAGATTAAAGGTGTGGCTACATATACAGCATGTTATTAGTTGTGTCTTTTCTCTTTTGCTGGCCCTACTCAATAAAAAATGCAGAGGAATAAAATTAAATCTCACATATCTCATGGATTTTATTGATGTGGGGTGCTAACTGCTTAAAAACCTACAGAACAGAATCCAGAGAATTAGATTCGGTGTGGACTTTGCAAACACTTATCAATCGACATTTCTCATGTTGATTGTTCTGTTCACATTGCCAAACTGTATAACTATCATAAATTACATCTGTGTTGCTTAATGTTAACTGAACTGTCAAAAGAGACATGGGTCTTCAGATGTGGAATTGCATTTATTCAAATCTCTGCCACATTCTTTTTTTGTGTGTTGGTATAAGCAAATTTTCTTTCTTGCTTACTTGCTTGATACTTAAGATATGTACCTGAAATGTTGTCTTGTTTTAGAAAGTGTTTACTGACTATTGTATTGCAGTTTTTATTGAAAATCTTAAGCTATGTTTAAATCCCTAGGACTTTTCATACCCCCTACTGCGAAAGCTTGTCTTTCTGAGTACTGGCATTAAGCAGAGAAACTGAGGGACAGAATACAACGCTACTTCGGATCACCTCTGCAAATACTTTAGAATCTTGTATCTCTGTATTTTTGAAAAATACTGTGGCATTACAGCTCCGTGGGAAATCATGAATGTAAATTACTTGATATATAAAAAGCAGTATATTATTTATTATATTTTCAAATAGCTTACTTCAAAGCAGAGAACATTAATAAACATCAAGGAATTTAAAGCGGTGGTGGTGGGAGAATGCAGAGAAGACTTATGCCTGTAGCTGAAATACAATTTTATTTCTCCTCAGCTAACTAGTCTGCCAATGAAATGCCAGGGCATTGCTGCCTCCCAATCAGTAGCAAATGTGTAAAAATTGATTGAATTATGGAACAGAAATACAGGGAATATAGTCCTAAAATAAAAAATGTGAACAACAGGAAGACCCTTTTCCTAATTCAGTGTTTGCCCACTTGTTCAGTGGAGGTAAACAGTTGTAGCACATGTTCCTCATATTACACCAGAAAAACAATTAATAATTAAGGACCTTGCCTCTAGGTCCTAATTTAGCAATGCAAGCCATACTCTAGCTTGAACAAGAATTTATTTTGAAATTTAGTGGGAAATATATTGCTGGTCTTTAACGCTTGTCTTTGTAAGTGTAATAAATCAGGCATCAGGGAACAAATGTTATTCAGAAGGGCAATCCCTCTACAATCTGTTTAAACATGATTCTTTTTCCTCCTCTGCAGCATCACACCTCTTCATAGCTCTTGACCTCATCATATCTGCATTCTGATATCCAAGACTTCACTTTCCTCAGTGGCCTTGCAACCAGCTCCCTGACCCTTCATATCTGTATCTTCTCCCTTCTGGTGCTAGGGCTTTGGAAGCTGTCTCTCATCACAAATATCAGTTTTAAATTGATCTTTTTCGAACAGGTCAGCTTGTGACACTTGCAACCTCTGATAACATGACCTTCTACCCCATCAAACTCCAGCTTCATCTCCTCCTTGATGTTTTCAGTGGTCTCATAGGATTGTTTATTATTTTCAGAAGAAATATGAAACTGCAGCAGGACCCAACAGAGTCAGAAAATTAACCCAAAAACTGTTCCAGAGGGGGACTGGAGAGAGCTTCTAGCTCACAGATGTGAAATATTATTCCACCGTAAGAGCAAACTTTATTCTTATAAATATCAAAAGTCAGACCTACATTTTTGGTCTTCCTTTCCAGCCACTGCCTTGTTGCCAGTTTTTATAAATTTCTTTTTTATGGTTTTCAGGTTTTTTATTAGTCTTTTTGAACTCTGTTACCAGTCTGCAGCTCTGTAATTACCATTAGCATAAGTGCAGCCAGCCTGGCCAAAGCCACAACATGAACTTGTACCCACCCCTCTACAAGTAGGGGAGTGAGCAGTGCCTGTGCCAGTCTGCTCCAGCAGTTTATGTTTTCCTGAGGAAGACCTTTGGTGGTTGCTGGCACTGCACCTACTACTGTGGTAAGTAAAAGGACACTGTTCATCGTCGTGACAAGTCCATTCCATCTTCCAGCAGAAA